AAAAAAAAAATTTTAAAAAATATTAATTATTTATAAAAGTAAATCAGAAGAGAATTTATAGTAAATAAGCAGGCAAAGTTGCCTGCAAAACCCTACGATTTAAGGGATAGGTAAAGTCAGTTTTCTTTTGAGAAGACTTACCCACTCTCTTCATTTCAAGAAGGGTTTTTTCAAGAAAGATTTTTACCCTTTCTTTTGAGGAAGATTTTCACAGATGTATTTGTTTCTTCTATTTTTTTATTTTAGAAACTCCTAAGTATTCAAATACCTGCTGTGGTGTTGAAGAAAAATCAGTAATGTCCATAGGATCTATAAAAAAAGTCAAACCAGAAGTTATTGAGAAGTGGCTGAGAGAAATAACACCGATCGAGTTTGTTTTTGCAATAAAAAGGGGGAAACTACCGGGAAAATTAATTTTACTTTTATATGCCAAATATGATTTTTAGGCTGAAATATATTCAAATTTAGCATTAACCCATTTTTTATTTTTCCGACAGTTTCTCCCCTTTCTATTGCAAAGGTCCATATAATCAAGGAACCTTCTAACGGGTAAGTATATGGGCATTACGGATCATATGATTTACTATGCCTCATGACTTGATTTTACTGGAAACGTTCCCATATATTCAATAAATGTGCTGTTGAAGAAGAATCTAACTATTTTCAGATATGGTCATCTACATTTTAATTCTTATCTAGAGTCAAGTATGTTTTATAATTCAATGAAAGACCAAAGAAGGACCTTATGGGAGCATTTCCAGTAAAATCAATTCATGAGGAATAGTAAATCATATGATCCGTAATGCGATTTTACTGGAAACGCTCCCATATGGCGGAATTCGGTTTATTGCTGCACAGTATTTCTCATCTAAAATTAACTATTTTACTCTTCAAACAGGTTGATATCGTTTTTAATATTTCTTTTATTTACTTGAACATTAAAATACGGGTACCAGTGCTATAGAAATAGCCGATCACGAAAAAAGTTGCGCAATCACTGAAAAATCAAATAAAGAAAACAAAAAAAGAAAGTTAGTCGAAATTAAGGACGATGAAGTTGACAAGCAGCTGCCATATGTAATTATAAAATTGAAGTTAAATTTAGCAACACGCATTGCATAGTAAATTAATCACAATCGAGAATTTCAATTATTGATAAAGGTTCAATATTATATTTATCTTTAAATATATCGTTGCAAAGCGATGGAAATCTATTTTCCTTCACATGCGGGATTCCTTGACATTCGACTTTGGTAGGGGTACGCGTGTTCAAGACGACAGTTTTTTTCGGCGGGTTGTGGGCTTCCACGCTAAGGGAACCTATCCTGAATTTCCTTGGTTAGTCCCCCACTCCGATGCCCACTATAACGTCTGCATGTTCTTTAACCTTACTGTTCGTTAATTAGTACTTGACATAGTTAACACTTTTCCTATTCCATTTCGATGTCTTATTTTGAGTATTTGATTTTAGGATGTCTAGTGACAATATATTATCACGTGCCAAACATGAGAAATTTAATCTTTAAATCAAAAAAAATGAAAATATCTTTATTAAATTTTATTTTAAATACATTAACCGAGACTCGTAATTAATATGTATGTATATTGAAAAATAAAAACTTGATTGACTATAAATAAACTAATTCGTTCAATTGCTTAAAAAATAATAAGCATATGAAAAGTGATCAATATCTCCTTATGAAATAAACGTCAATTTAAAATTACTATTATCCATAATCATCTTCTTATCAAGTGTAAGTAAAGTCTTGACACTTCCATACGAACAGCTCACAATTATGGGATAACCAACATCACCCTGAAAATTGAGTTGACGTTTTGATAGTGTGTAATTGCATGTTAGTGTCATGCCAGTTAATTTGGAGTTAGAACTAATAAGCCGCAATATGCCCTCTTTTTTTCCGAATCTAAATGCTTCATATTCATCCCAAGTAAAAAAGCATATGCTCTTGAACATTATACCTTTCGCAATATAGGTTAGCGTTTCTTTGTTCTCAATGCAGGGATTCGTCTGTGTCGCGACTGTTCTGGTCTGCGGAGCTGCAGATGTTTTTGTAGAAGGATCAGAGTTGTTAATGCTGTGATCTTCAACTTCAAACATTTCAACAAATTCGATAATATAGTTAATATTATCAATAAACTTTGTTTTGCTCTGATCGAGTCCCGTAATGATCATCCCAATTGAGTTAAATGGACTCTTCAAAATAATAGGAAATCCTGAAAAACTTGGCGGTGGTTGGGAAATGTAAAAATTTCCGAGCTCATACTCACAATACAGCGACACACTTGATAAACGTAGGTCCACGCTGCTAATTTTGCATACACCTTCCGTTTTACCGCCAATGAAGATTACATTCATGTCAAGATTAAAGTGTGCCAGACTACAAGAAATTAGACCTTGGATTAGGTATGTTAGACTCTCTTGATCTGTAGAAATATTCATGGTTTGTGTGCTTGTAGATTTCTTCGATAATAAAGATACAGAGGTAACGCCGTTTGTTTTTTGTTGGCTCATGTTTGATTTTGTTACTTTTACAGACTGTTGCAATTCCTTACCGTCACCTTTCGAGTGTGAATAGAATGGAAAAAGTTAGTTTTACATTATACAAAATAAACATGATTTCGAGTCTAGGCAGTGTTTAAATCTTGATGAAATTTGGCAAATGGTAGTACCTATACCATTGACGTCGATGTTGTATTTTACTAAGAATTCTTTCAAACTGAGGTTTGAGAAGCGTTTCTCGTTGCTTTTGAGGGACTTACTTACTTCAGCAAGTAACAAAGCTGGTCCCATTTCTAAACCACAGCGTTCAAATTTTTCTTCATTCATGAAGAGGAAGGACTGCCCATTTATTTTTTTCTTGCGAAGTATTTTAATGTCATCCTCATCGATTTTTATGTTTCGTTCTTTCAAAAAATTGATAAGGGTTTCCGTATCCCAGTTGACAATCGAATTAGTATCATTTTCAATTGTAGAAGCTGACATGATGCTTTTATCGGTTTTTTTTTGACTCACATAAAACAAAAATGTGAAAATGAAAATTACAAAAATAAAAAACATAATTTCAGAAAGTGTAAAAGAATTTTTTTTTTATATATATACATGTATATTTATATAGTTATATTATTTATCGTAGAATGCAAAACACGGGCAAAACACGGACTAATTTTTTTTTTCCTAATTCGTAATTTGTGTAAGATATATACGGTAGGTTGCTTGTTTTTTTTTCAAAATGAATAATAAAATCATATATTTTACAAATAAAAAATTACCTTTTCTATATTCATTTAAAAAATTTTCTTTTGTTGAGATGAAAAATACTGTATGTAATTGCTATTTAACTATAAATGATTTGGACTAGGTCTTCAATCTGAAAATTATATTTTGTATATAAAACAAAGTAAATTGAAATTTTCTGACAGCTCCCCTTTTTCTATTGCAAAAGGTTATCATTAAAATTTCACCGTTTATTATAGAATCATCCATGCATTGGCAATTGTCTGCACCTTTTTTTTTTATAATCATGTTATTCCTGCGGCTTTTTGCTTGCTTTAAAAAAATAAACTAGCAGAATTTTTTTTTCACTGAGAATTTTTTATCAAAATTGAGATTTTAAAATTGTTATTACATTTAGACTAAAATGTAGGGTCCAGTCTAAAAAAAATGGTCTCAAATTAGTCTTATGAATCAGTTCAAAGACTAGTCACATCCAAAAAAGACTGTTCTTAAATTCTATTAATACAGTTGAACCTCACTATAACAAAACTGAATTTTAAATAATTTATTCGTTATATAGTAATACCAAATATCATATTCAAATTCAGTATATGAAAGGTTTGCTAGGAAAATAGAGCTCTGAAGATTTTTTATTAAAATTTTAATTTTTATTGCATTTTAATCTAATATTATCAAAAATTAAAATGCAATAAAAATTAAAATTTTAATAAAAAATGCTCAGAACCCCATTTTTCTAGCAAACCTCCTATATAATAATATGTTTGAAATAATTGAAATAATATAAAACAAAATAAATTTAAATAGATAACTAATAAATTAAAATTATAAAAGTATGCTTACTTTTAATCAAATATATATTAAACTATAAATGTTTATCCTAAATATCACATAGAGATAGCAAGTTTATTCAAGTTTTTTTTTATGAAATTTAGAAAAAAAATTTATAAAAAAAAATTGAAACTAATATGAAGAGAGGTGAGCGAAGATAATAAATAAATAAAGAAAAGAGGGACTAGTTGTAAAAAGTTATGAAAATGCAAAAAAGAGTGAAAATATTTGGAAAAAAAAGGTAAAAAGAGGATCTTTATGAGTTAGTTTATGTTTCAGATTAAGAAAAATTACTAGGAAGAGGAGTTAATGATTCTAAAAAATATAAATATAAATTTATATTAAAATAATATTGATATTAAAACTAAATAAATTTCTTATCTTGATTTCTGATAGTTAATCCTATATGCCTTCTTTCTTGAACTTAAGATACTAAAAAAACTAATTTTAATTATTAATTTATTAATTGAAAAGTTTAATTATTCCAATCTGATCACTTTTAAAATGGGATTTCAAATTGTTATCCAGTACTTCTCCAATATGCATCTACTTTTCTTTCATGTTTCCATTAGTATATAATTCAAACAACTAAAGTAAAATTATTAAAATATTATTGTAAATACAATTAATATAAATATTATTATTCTTTTATTACTTATTTTACAATTTCTAACCATTCCTTTAAATTTTTCGATTACCTATAATCTATTATATATTATCATGAAACTTTCCTGTATTTGCATTACAATCTCATTTCAAAATGATAACTTTGAAATTCTAAACCTTCTTCAGTAATCTATGTTTCTTTTCTTTCTTAAGTCAACTAAATATTGCATCTCTTCATTAAACCATTCAATTGTGATAAGCATTTTTAGAATTTATTTGTTATAAATAACTTTTAAAATTGTTAATATTGAATAATTAAAAAAATAAAAATGTAATAAAATTTTCCTTATATAAAATTATATCAAAATATATCAGTATTCAATAATTTAACAAATATCTAATTTTTATGCATTATTTAATAATTCAAAGAAATGATATAATTTTTCACAATTTCAAAATTTTGCAATTGAAATTTTTATTTCAAATTGAATTATAAAAATTAAATAAATTGAATCAACAAATTAATCACTACTTAAAACTTTATTAGAAAAAATAAAATAGTAGTTATCATTTATATTATAAAAGATTTTATTTTATTGAAAATAATATTTATTAATTTTTATTATATATATGGTCTTACAAATCACAATTATCAAATATCAAATTTTAAAATCTATCTTTAACAAATACTTTCATAAAACTAACTCTTCAAATATAATATTATTTTAGTTATTTCTGTTTCAAATCTATTTCTTAATAGTAAAATTATTTATTTAGCTACTGAAAAGCCTGCTTTAAAGTTATGCTTATAGCTTAAATGCACAAATAATCTTTTGTAATTTGAAATTCTTTTTGCTAAATATTTTACTAAAATAAGCAATCAATATAATCTTTTAATGACAATGCTAAATATTTTATTAATTCTTCTCTAATATTATTTATATATGATAATATAGTAAAATATTATTAGAATTACTACTAACATTTTATAATTGTCAAAAATATTTTCGTGTATTTCTAATATCATTATTTATTGTAATTACTGATATTGATTATTCTGTTAAGTTTAATATCAAATCTTTTGCTTGATTTTTTCATCATCAGTTTTAAATGCAAATAATTTAGCCTTTAAATCTAATAATAATAAAATTTGTAATGTTTTATTAACAAATAACCAGTAAAAATTTAATTTTTGATAAATTAATTTTTCATTATGCTTTATGAAAAATTATTCAAATATCAAAATAAATGTTCTTGATTGCTAAGAAAAATAATGTAAATATCACTATAAATCACATAATTAGAATCAGAAAGTAATGAGTTACATATTTTATTAGTTTTAAAAGTATTATTGTATTCTTTTAATTTAATTAAAAAAGTAATTAATTATATTACATTGTCAACGTCTGAAATTAACCCTACTGCGCCGATCATCAATGACCTATGGAATGATGATATAATAAGTACTGTGCCAAATGATCTACAGAATTCCTGATTTTCCTGATTCGTCTGATCAGCCTGATTTGCAGAATTAGCCTGATTTTCTTATTTTCATTATTTCAATTATATTCGTTATATTTATTATTTTTATTATTATTATTATATATGTTATTTTTATTATATTTCTTATATTTCTTATATATATTATAATTATTGTTTTAACATTTATATTTACAAATTTAGTTAGTTTATAGTGTAGCAATTAGTTAGCCGAAGCAAATTCATTTTGTCTATTACGAATTTCAGTTTTATTACAAGTTCAAGTAATAAAGGAATCAACTTTTAAAACAAATTACTTTTCCCTTCTATGTGTTCATTATCTAGGATTTGATCGTGAACCACTACACTAACTTGTGATTGAGTTCATCATTTAGAATAAATAAATTCTCTAAATTTCTAAGTCCCTAAACCCTTAAATTCGTAAACTAAGTGAAGTAATTCCAAGGCATTCCAGATACCTGTAGAATGTAAGATTCCCTAAGGTTGTAAAGTCTGATGATAAGGAAGTTACTTACCGCAGTAAAAGAACTTAAATATATTACGTGAAGTAATATAGAGAAGATTATTCCCAGTAACAGTATAGAATCACAATGTAATTCTATATCAGAATTTTTATATACACGTTCTTTCTAACAAAAAGTAACATTATAAGTTTGTCGCACACTTTGCATTAAAACATATGCATATATTCCTGTCCTTCGCATTTTGCTACCCCAGTTTTTATTATCAAAAAAATTCCCTAATTGTTCATATTGTTACCTTGAAATTAGATCTGCAAAATTGATCTGCAAATGATTTACAATCAATCAAATTAGTACTACAAAATTGATCATCAAATTAATGCATAAATTAAGTAATAAATGATTTGCATAATTTAATTTCCTAAAATAGTAGTAAAATTGATTTGTAAAAAACTCTTTCTTACGACCTCCCAATTTCTTAAAAAAGATCGATAAAGATAAATAAAATGCCAGTTACTAGAGCTACCTCAGCTAATAAACAACACAAACGAACACAACAAACTAACAAAAGAACAAACTACAACAATGGTGAAGCTTCTGGTTCTAAAAATATAAATACAACTGAAAACACTTCTATTAAAAAACAAAAAACTACTATTATTTCAAATGAACAAACTGACAATATCCCAGTGCAAAATATCATTAACAATCAAACTCCTGAAACTGTTATCCCAACACCTTTAAAAACCTTACAAACTTTAGAAGATACTAAAACTTACAAACCAGCTGATATGAAAGTTGACCCAACTGACATTCCAACTGAACAACAAACTCCTATTTCACCAGTACTTACAACCAATGATTCTATGTACGTCAAGAACA